AAATAAAAAAAAACGGCATCATAGCCCGCGGGCCTTCACACACGGCTATGCAGAGAGAGGGCTGCTGCAGACGGGCTAACATTAGCCCTGGCTGCCGTTAGCCTCTGAGGTCTACTGGTTGCCGCGGGCCTCCCAACATCTGAACTTTAAAAAAAAATAAAAAAAAACGGCATCATAGCCCGCGGGCCTTCACACACGGCTATGCAGAGAGAGGGCTGCTGCTGACGGGCTAACATTAGCCCTGGCTGCCGTTAGCCTCTGAGGTCTACTGGTTGCCGCGGGCCTCCCAACATCTGAACTTTAAAAAAAAATAAAATGCATTAAATCGGTAAATGGGCGATACTGATATAGTGATGCTTAAAAGTGAAATGTTTTCGCCTCAAATGATCTTAAAACGTACATTAATAGAACAACAGCAATAGAAAAGAGAACTTATAACTTAATACTCTGAGCTCTATGAGCGCTCCATTGAAAGGAGACGGAGGAGATTCATCCACGACCTCAAACACTAAACTCTCCTCCTCTTGCATGTTTCCTCTGTCCATAGCGTTCCTTGACAGCGTTGTTTCTAAGTCACCAATTTAGTGCTACTTGGTCCCAATGGAATTTCCCATTGGGAACCTACTAGCACTAAGTTGCTAACTGGTTAGCAAGATACTTCCAATAAATCTGCTACAATCAAACTTGCCTGCGAACCTTCCGCCACAACAATCCCGCCCCCTTGATAAACGACCAATCAAATTCACTTTATGCACTTGTGTAAAGTCAGGCACTACTCGAGAGAATTCAGAAATGCAACGGTTGGAGCAGCTGCTTCCCTACGACTTTAAGTTGACTGATGAAAGCCGTTTGTTCTGCAGGCCCCTTCACATTGCAGCGAGAAAAGGCCTGGCCACTGTAGTACAGGTGTTGCTGAGCAGAGGAGCAGCAGTCATGGCTGTAGATGAGGATGGTGAGTAAGAACCTTTTATTTCCAAAAGCATGAAAGGAGTCCATTTTCCCTGGAAACGGAAACCTTTTTTGTCTGTCGATTCCCTGCAGGCCACACCCCAGCTCTGGCCTGTGCCCCGAACAAAAACGTAGCAGACTGCCTGGCTTTGATCCTGTCCACCATGAGGCCCTTTCCTCCCAGAGAGGCAGACGCTGACGCCGCCTCTCATTTCAGCCCCATCCTGAAGAACTGCAGCATGGCTGCCTCCTGCGGGGCCAATGGAAACCTGTGTCATGCTTAGAGACCTCACCAGCGCTGATGAGTTATGAACACGTGCTGAGCACTAGTAGAAATACTGCCTCTTAAAATCCATCTTACATGTGACTTATACTTGCAGGGCTTTTAGATGAACTTTTTTTAAAGTCTTGAATAACTATGAATTTAATGGTAGTTTTGATTGGAGCGTACTAATCAAGCTCAACTCGTATCCTCTGAAAGGCATTAGGAGCTTCGTCAGTTTATTCTGCTGCTCTGTAAGTTATTAACAGGCCTAATTTTCAGTATCCTTGATGAACTGACGTGCCACTGATTTTAGTCTCACTTTATTTTAGGGGATTCCACACAGCTTGAAGAAAAAACAGTAGCTTTTTAGTTTTTCAACTTCTAGATAAGTGTTGGAAGAAGAGGAGGATATTTTCCTTCCTTCCTTCCTTCCTTCCTTCCTTCCTTCCTTCCTTCCTTCCTTCCTTCCTTCCTT